TAGAGGCATAGTAATGATGGGTGCACGTATATCCCGAATAGTAAAAAACAATATGAAGTTATTCAAAATAAGGATGAACACGGTTGCCATTTCAGTTCAAAGAATATTTCAGCTCCTGCTCTCTTCTTCATCGTTAACCGTAAATATATATACAGTATATATGATCGTTATCAAAAGTATTGTCATATTCTTGAGTTGTATTAGCTGTTTATAGTCTCATCGATCATTTGGAAACGTAAGTCAAAATTTCATGAAAAATATATTTTTCAATGTAACGAGTGGAATGTCTTTATCCGATCTACAACTTTTGAGTCAACAGCAACAGGTGTCATTCAGCAAATTATGGGTAAAGTCGTTAAAATTACTTCAAAATAGAGCAGGTATAAGCACAGATTTACTTCAAGTAATTATACTCGATGTAATCCAACTGTACTTTGAATACAATCCGTTAAACTTTCAACTTTGCACCTGGTAACAGTAAGTCAGTTAGCCAACCCGCATTTTCCAATAAACTTAGAACTGTCTTACGTTTGAGGGTGAAATCTTTTTTCTCTGTTGTGGAATTTCTCTTTCTGGTATTGTTTTGTTTATATTTTTGTCATCAAAAACATCAACAATAACAAAAACATACAAATTAATACGCAATTGCTCTTCCACCATGACTGGCTATAATGTTTAAATCCATAATTTTTTTTATGACATAAAAACGATTTACTTGTGATAATTTTTAAATGATATATAATATTTCTATCTTTTTCTTTAAGCATACATTGTCAACCATTTCAAAAAGTTTTTTCTCTCTTCAATAGAGGGAGTCTAATTGGAGGGAATACTTTATAATAGAAGATAAGCATTGGAGGAACACCTAATGTTAAAATATAGACATTTCTATCTAGGGCCTCAGAAATGTAGTCTTTAAATGGAGGTGGTCTTCCCTTGTTTCTGCAAGAGTGACTTTGGAGTTACACAAACGGGTGTTTTCATTTCATACTACCATGTATTTAAACCAGTGAGATATATTTCATACCTCCCTGTTTAAACCCTGATGACGAACAAGAAATATCATCTCAGGCTTAATCTAGTGCAAGGTGATCAAAGCTGCTTAAAAAAAAAAAAACCATTATTATTGATTGCTTAGTATCGGACAAACGCCATTAGCAGGATAGGTGCGTTAGCTGAAGTATTCAATTTGCAAACAGTATAATTATGGTTACGTTTGCATCTTAGCATAGGCCTACAAATTAAATGAAAATAGCTTAGATTATTATGGCTAAATATAATTTAGAGTTGGCTTAATTTAATTACTGTAGGCCTATTACATTAAAAGAAAATATGGAATTAACAGGGTTATTAAGGCCAGGGTATGGCCTGATTCCTGTCGAAATTATGATGATAATGATGATAATAATAATAATGTAATAATTATTATGGTTATAAATATTATCCTTATACTCTGATTTCTGGAAAAGTAGTTCCAAGTGTTTTTTATTTTCTTGAACAAGTATATGTAGGCCGAGATGAAAACATGAAAACGAAGCTAGGTCTATAATAATGACAAAAATACAGAATAATATGACTAATATCACATTTATAATATAACTTTTGATCAGTTAATAGTAAAATGTAATGCATACGGTATAAAGCCTAAGTAAGGTATCTTACCTGAAGAACTTCCAACTCCTAACGTTCGAAGTTTGTTATCTTGAGTCTTCAAGTTTTCAACAACGAATTTTACAAAAACTGTTTGAGTCAGTTCTTTCATAATTTCGAGCTTATTCAGGCGAGATTGAAACACATTGTAGGATTTTATATAATACGCAGGATCTTCGAATAAATACATGTTATGTGGTGTTTACTTCTTTTAACAAACAATTATTTGTTATAGTAAACACCGAATGGCAATCTACCATGAAGCGCGGTGCCGCTCGGTATTTATAGGTGTGTCTACATGATTGTGATTGGTCAAATACACATGATCATGATGTGATTGGCCAAATACGCAAAATCGCAGTAGTTTATAGGCTTGTCAGGAAAAATTTAATCCGGGACAAAAATCGGTCCGGCGGATTTGGCCTCATAATTACTTGCCAAATGTAGTCCACATAAGCCAAAATCAGTCCGGAAATTTACTTTGCTGTGCTCAGCACACTTGGGCATCTTACGTCCGCAGTAGATTCCTAAGCTTTTGTAGACGCGCATATATGATCTAGCCAATCACACATGATGTCCATAGCTGAAGCCTGAATTCGCGTATACATCACCCTATATAACAGTTTAAGATCGGCATGTACGGTACAGTATTTGGGTTTAGTATATATAGGCCTATTGTATTTTATTCAAACATCCAAAAGTAAACAGCAATTATACATAGAATGAACATATGTAAGTTAAGAATATGATTAAAGTAAAAAGCAGATTATATCTGCGGACGGTAAAATTGAAGTTAGCACGTCGGCCTTTTCTGTTCCCCAATTTTTATACTAACCAAAAGAACTTCTTTCCTATTGAATAAAGTCAGCTGTGATTCTGTGAAATCCGTCTCCGCTGTTAACACAGATCCTATATAGGCTACAAATTGTATATAGTTTATTGTATGTAGGATCTGTGCTAATACTAAGGTGATATATGCAAAATAGGCTTCAGGTTGAACGCTATCACATTTATAGTGATTGGTCGCTCATTTTCAATTTTCCCACCAAAAAGCTTTTCCCTCAAAAAAATCAATGCGGACCCGGTAAGTAAGCACTCACTGTGCTGTAATGGTTGAGTACCAAACTCGTATAGTGTAGCACTGGTGTATGCGGAACGATTTAGGCTAAGCCATGTCCTGGCCGGACCAATATTATCCATGGAGGACTGATTTTGGCCAGCCAAAATCGGTCCCCTGGACAAATTTTAGCGGCCAAAATCAGTCCGGGGCCCGGACCGATTTTAGCCCGGACCAATTTTGGCGTGACAGGCCTATAGTTACAGTACAAACCGTTGGCATTCTTCCATGCTTAGACCCAGCATAAAATACTTAATGCCCCTCATGACTAAAACAGAATTAATTAAGCGGGTGGTCAGACCAACGCTTTTCCACTGAGATTTAAAGATAATTAATGTCCTCCTCAGACAAAGTATTTCAAGGACCAACATATATCCTAGAAGAACATCCTAACCTCAAATTAGTTATATAGAATACTGGTGATGCAGTTTAAAAGAATGACCTCGGGTATTTTTAGAAGTATTAAAATCAAAAACAAATCCACAGAAACATTGTCAAAGCCTCGAGCAAATCTAAAAGCCTGAAGAATATCAGCTCTCTGCCGACGATAACTTAGTGGTGGTAAATTTGGCTCGCAATAATTGATATGGTAAATGTCTAAATTCTGAAAACATTCTAGAAACTCATTTATGTTAATATCAACACACTATTTTTCTGACCCTTCGGAAACCGAAAGATGTGTATAATGACACATTTTGTTAATTGGTGTTACCAAACCTTTACTAAAAAACCTATTTTGTATGACTTTTTTTGGCTACATGTTTTACTAAATAATTACAAAAATACTAAGCTAACAACCTTTTCGTCTGATACATTTTCAAACTGACCACATACAAATAAAACACCAATTAAAATTTCAGATATTATTCATTTTGTATTTGGGAGTTATTCAATGTACTAGTACTAGTAGGCCTATTGTACATGGAATATACAGTAGATGGGTATGTCGGTACGGTACACAGTTTCATTGTTTGTTTCGGTCCGCCATCGTTTCTTATTTTACAACGTGCTGTTATTCCCGGATTCGTTTTTTGTCGGCAAGTACTCGGATATGCTCGTATGCAAATACATGTGCGTGGGGCTTCTGCACTGGTTTTTTTCGGCGGCGGTACTCTCTTGGAATCGACCATGGCTTCTGGTGGATATTTTGGCTTTACTCATGGCGGAACCCAGTACAGGTTTGTTATTAGATTACCTTACTTATTTTAGATGTTATCCTAAAACGAACTGAAACATACTTTGTTACTAAAAGCCTCAAATTAGCACTATTTACGTACTATTTACGTAGGCTACCTCACTCAATCAGCCAACCAGGAGGCAATTAATGCTTTTCGAGCTCCCCCACGCCTTTCTTCCATAATCTCATTTATTTATTTGGTTTTGCTCTGCCTAAGAAAGAAGCGGTTCTAATAAATTTTATCACTCTAGGCCTGTCGAAAAACCGTATTTTACACAGCATTAGGTTAGTTCCAAATCTAACCCAGAAAAACTAATCCAGAATTCGTCCAAATCGTCGCTTTTCTCCACTTAAAATTAATTTTCAGTGCTGATTCTCATGCGTGTGTTGAAAGAATAGGCCTAGTAGTAGCAGGTCACTTCGGCCCAAAACCTGTTTAATGATTTCTGAAAGACAGCGAAAAATATCAACAATATAATTATCAATTTAAAAAAATAAATTGGACAATATCACTATATGAAAGATAGTTTTTATAAAAACAACTGTTGTTATTTAAAGTTTCCTTGTTCCATAGAAGTGTTTTTCTACCGTTTCTGCTAGTTTTGTTAATACCTTAGATATGAGTTCATTTTTTGAGGCACACTATGAGTTATGATCTTGCGGGTTTTGTGCCTTTAAAGTCAGAAAATTCATGTACAAAACAGCACAACAAAAAAGAATGCAAGGCCAATCAGATAAGTCAGAATTGTACAGTACCCAAGAACCGGGATATGACCGGTTGAGCCGCCAACAGGTAATTTCTATGGAACGCCAAGCACGTCTCTCAGTGAATGTAGTGCGGCTCTCAGTGAATGTAGTCGGCTTGCCGATGTCATCAGTGAATGAACCCCCCGGATACCAGTTACATATTCATCCCACAGCCTTGTCAGTCGTTGATTTGCTCGTATATTGCCCTTCGTGATGTTGAAGTTGTGTAATTGAAAATTAGAATTTTGATTCTTTTATGTACTACATTTTTATGAAAATAAATGAAGTTGTATAATTTCAAAATTGTATTAAAAATGTAATTGTATGTACTACATTTTTTATAAAAAATAAATTAAGTTGTATAATTGCAAATTCGTATTAAAAATGTGTTTATTTACGTTTGGTTTGCAGCGTATTTCAGTTAACTTATTCGTTATTTGTACTATTTTGTTAAATTATTTAATTAAATTATTTATTATATATAAGTTTAACAAATAGTACTAAAATAAAAATATATAAATTATAAAACCATAGTAAATACTGTATAATAACATAGGCCTAACACATTAAAATTTATTGTTTATAGTCATGCAAAATTGTATTAAAAATGTAATAACTTGATTATTTTTTACATTTGGTTTGCGGCGTATTTCAATTAACAATTAAATTGAAATAATTGAGTAAATAAACTGAAATACATCCCAAACAACAGTACCAAGAAGGAATAAGTTAATTGAAATACGCCGCAATTAACGCACTACATTCACTGAGAGACGCGCTTGGCGTTCCATAGAAATGACCGGCGGCTCAACAGGTCATAATCCCCAAGAACATGGAAGATAAAGATGTTTTACGGTACTGTATACTGATAGGTTCGGATCTGTTTATTTCAAAATTTTGTAATGACTATATCATGAAAACTAATTATTATGTCTAGCATATAAAAATCTCGTAATAATTTCCATTTTTTACAGTGCTCAGCAAGCAGCAGCTGGTTCATATGCAGCACAACCTGCCCAACATGCAGGCTATGTGCAGGCTCATCAGGCTCATCAAGCACCAGCATATGCCACTGCAACTGCTGCACCTAGAGCTGCGGCTACTGCTACTGTCTACGAGGCTAACTACCAGCCAGCTCATGCTGCCGGAGGCTACACCTATGGGTAAAAATCTATCATTTCAGACATGGATATTCATTGTTATTACTGTTGTTATTATTAGTACTTTGTATTACCATATTAGTTTTATTATTTGTATTGTTTATCGGTAATAGTATTATGCCCCATAAAAAAAATTATTAGTTTATCACCCGCTCCCTCATCACTTTTGGAAAAAATCTGATTGTTTTTTTTTTTCAATTAACATATATTTTCATTTCAAACGGTCCTTTTTCCATCTTTTTCCACTTAAAAAGCTCAGGGTTTCTTGCAAATATGCTTACTGGTACAACAAAAACATATTTTTTAAATATAAATTTGATTCCATTCTTATGACTTTTTATTATGTGTTTCTAACCATTGATTTACTGTACTTGTGATCATCGGTAAAAAGGGGGCAGGATTAGCAAAAAAAAACCCAAAAAAAACCTCCCTCCCTCATCAGTTTTTATTCTTTGATAGGGTGATAAACTAATACTGTAATTTGTTTTATGGGGCCTTAATAATAGGTTATATTGAAGCTATATGATATAGAAAGAGTGTTTAAGTGTTAATGGATAAAAATAAGTTAAAATTAATGGTGATGATTATCATCTGATTGGTAATGCTATTATTGTTGTATGGTTATTAGTGTTATTAATAGTTACAGTTTTTAGTAATAATATTAATAGCTTTACCATTAAAAGTAGTGATACAATATGATTTATAGAGACTCTATAGGTGATATCAAAGAGTATTTCTGTGTATTTATTATAAGGATAATGATAACCACCTTAAGTCGATAATAATTGGGTGATGATTCCAGTTGGTAATGTTCTTTGTGAAGTGTATTTGTTGTGTTGTATTTTAAAAATAACTATGATATTGTTGTAATTTGCCATATATAGAACCACTCAAAGACAAGATGCAGCACAAGTAGTCTCAACCCCAGCCTTTCGTGATACATACGCTACATATGGTCAGACATCTGCCACCCCGGCTTACGAGAAACAAACCTACTATCAACCACAAACCACACAACAGCATTCCTCGACCGACGGCTACTATGCTGCTCCAGGTAACACCGGTTCATCTCTATACTCGTATTAATATATTTTGCAGAATTCTCAACATAGAATTCAGTTAATGCAGCCTTACATGAAATTTATGCTCATATAAATGATCCAATAACCACTTTTCTCGAATACACACAGTTTTCGAATAAGTGACAGACCAAACATGTTTTTGCCAAGCACTTAAAACTTGGTTGCCATACAATCGCTACACTGTCGCTACAGTGTTTTTTCTGCAATTGTTGCACTGCGAATGCTGTCCGGGACACAATCCGGAACACTTCCTGATTCAACTGACCAATCAGCGTCGCTAAAGGAGTGTGTAGCGATTTTTATGGAAACCAGGTTTTCGTTTGCTTTCCTTAAAATGGCTACACTGTCGCTACAGTGTTTTCAGTGCAATCGTTTTAGTGCTTAGCTATCGCCGACGCGATTGGGAAGGCTCTTCGCACCACCGAAAGCTGTTGGCGATAGTGCAGCCCACGAATTTCACGTCGGCAATTGCCGACCATATTGCCGAGCCAGAATTGCTACAGGGCGGCAATTTTTTGCTGACCTAGGCCTAGATTTCTTTGCTTCAAAAACTGCTTGGAAAGTCAACAACTTTGACTGACACTGGCTATAGCAGACACTAAATTTCATGTACGTCATCAAACCAAGGTAATTGGTGGTTCATAAAACAGATTTGTTTGTACAATAACTATTTTTAATAGGCATGCAGTACATACAATTTGAATACAATCGTCTTGTCTTTCTCGCCTAGTCGTTTCGTAGGCTAGGCCTAAGTAGGAATGACGCTAGCCAGCCAATGCCTACAACATTGCCCAATTGAAGCCACGTTTGCCGCGTAGATCGTAATGCTTATCTAAATCTATTATTTGTCTTCATTGCAAAAAGCAATCATGATCGCATCGTGACTTCACTACTGTACATGTGTGGAAAATCCCTGATAGATCATTCTGGGCATGCGCATGGACATGCATGGGCAGTTTTGAAGTAGCCTGTGATGATATGATCGTATAGTACCTTTTACGAAAGTGATATTTCCCATGCCAAATATAACGATTAAACGAACGCTAAAACGAAATTTATTCGGCGATTTTCTTATGTAAAACATATGTATTATACTACACTATTAAATTAATACAAGTACAGTACAACCATTCTTTCACCAGCAATATATTGATTTAATAGAGAAATTAACAAAATCACAATCTGTAGATGGCGATGTATGGTCGAGCGTTCGGAAAAATCATAGTTTATACTATATAGGCCTAGGTAGTAAAAAATTGCCGAGGCTGCCAACCTCGGAGAATTTAAAGTCGGCTAATTTTTTCCTAATTTTATGGGCTGGATAGTGTGTAGCGATCTTATGGGCACATCTTTATTGGTCAGTTTGAATGATGGTGCATTCCCAATTGCGTCGTGGACAGCTAAGCAGTGCAGGGATTGTAGTGGAAATGCTGTAGTGACTGTGTAGCAATTCTATGGAAACCAGGCTTAAGTATATCAGCACTGATGTGTTTATTAAAGTCATATTTTATTTGGAATTTGTGGTGGTTAATTAAGAGTTGATATCCAATATGCTTTGATGTTTTGTATCATCGTTTTAACCTTTACTGATTTACCATGGATTAAGTGTTACTAATGTAATGTCAATTGGTCGTTAAATACATGGTGCCATTAGCACTAATAATTAGTAGTTAGCACCACTCTCAAATAACCACCATTCTCGATTGAGCTCCACACTAAAGCCTCCAAAAATTGTATTAGTTCCACTGCGCTTATTAGATCATTTAAAGTAAACATATTACATGTTTCTTGCCTTGTGACTCATACATGAATTAAAAAATGTATAAGCTTAACTGATCTTCAATGTCTTAAAATTTCCTTATTTTTGATTGCAAGTACTCTTACTGTATTACAAATCATCCCTGCCGTGGATGACAAGTCACCATTAAAATTTATGAAGTACCATTACCTTATTTTATTTTTTCTTTCATCATTGTTTTAGTGGCTGTGAAGGCAACAGCTGCTTATGGTTCAGGGGGTGGATTCACCACGCATCAGCCTGCACCAGCAAAGCCCGTCCAGCAACCTAAGACAGTTGCAGCCTCTTACACATTCTCCACCCAAACCACAGTCCCCACATATACCACT